ACATACACCACAGACTGCACTCTCAGACTGCACTCGCACGAAGCATGGAAGCGATCTGACCTTGAGTTCGAGCCAGCGGCGGTGCGCCTCGTCGCGCGGGAGATCAGCCAGCGACAGCGTGGCGCTGTGCACATGGAACGGGGGAGGGGTTGTTGAGGGAGTGTGCGAATGGTTGAGGGGGTTGAATGTGCCGGGACGGGGACAAGATCATGGGCACGGTGTTTTGGGGATCACACAGGGAAAACGCACACGTGCACACACACGTGCACACACACACACACGCACACACACACACGCACACACACACACACGCACACACGCACACACGCACACACACACACACGCACACACACACACACGCACACACAACGGCTGACTTACACTCCCATGAATTCGTCCTTGCGCAGATCCTTATCGTAGACCTCAAACTTGACAATGGTTGCTTTGTCGTGCACCTCAAAGCGAAACGCCTGGTTCCACGTGGGGCTGATGCGGTTCTTGTACACAACCTGACAGCGGCGTGGTGATGGGCGAGGAGGGGGTGGACGGCATCAATTGCAGGCAAGAGGTTGTGCTCGTGTGCGTGTGCGTGTGCGTGTGTGCGTATGCGTGAACGTGTGCGTGTGCGCGTGCGCGTGTGTGTGTGATAGAGGGCAAGCAATTTGTGCGTTGACATTTGTACATGCGCGTGCACGCACCTTTGACTTTTTCGTTTGCTGCCCAATCGTGACCTTTACGTATGGATCAGCCTCGCCTGAAAGAACACCAACACAAGCACGAAAACACATGTACGCACGAAAACACGTGTGGGCCACTGAGGGTGAATTATGCAAAGTATGCACACATCAGTCATCACCACATAACACCAAATATCATCATCATCATCATCATCATCATCATCATCATCATCATCATCATCATCATCATCACCATCATCATCATCATCATCACGTCACGTCGCATCACCACATGGTCGCACCGTTTGCGTCCATTTGCAGGAGGTTCTTGCCCTGCAAGAGCTTCACATCGACAACACGCGTGTCGCTGAGTCCCATGTCCGTGGTCTTTGTGCGACGAAGCTTCTTGCCCTGGCACGCCATGGCACCCACAGTAGTGAATATCAGTGATGTGCACAGGTGAGCATACACATGCGAGAACGCTGTTGTGCACCCTTGGAGCAGAATGCACCACGACACAACTACAGCACATGACAACACGAGACAATACAACACATGACAAGACGAGACAAACACAACACATGACAAGACGAGACAAAAAAGACAACACAGCACAACACGAGACAACACGAGACAAAGACAGCACAGCACAACGCATTCACAACACATCCCACGCCACCCGAACAGATCAAATCAAGAAGCGGCACCTGTGCGCGCGTCTGTACGCGGGTTACGGTGAGGAGGAGGCGTCCAAGTGCTGATGGCAGCGGCTTGCTCGTCTTGCGCCCGTCATCAGCCAGCTCAACCCTGTCGTGGTGGTTGTGGTGATGACGGTCGTGGTGGTCGTGGTGGTCATGTGAGGGGTGTTGGTCGTTTCTTCCGTGCCTGCAGCGTGTCACATCCACCAGAGCGACACAACGTCACGCCACAGCACCAATCATCACGTCCCCATCATCCCCTCAAACCCCCAATCGCCTCAACCCATCATCAACGTACTCCACGTCGCGCGGTTTGTCGAGATCAAAGTCCTTGAGGTCGAGCGTGGCCGTGCCCATGTAGTCCGTCCCAAACCGGTCTCGGTCAAACACGTCAACCACCAGCGAGTCGTGCTGCGGGCCTGATGATAGAGGTGGTGGTGGTGATGATAGAGGTGGTGGTGGGCTAGGGTGAGTAGGGAGAGGAAGGATGCTCCAGTAGGGTTGAGACACACACACACACACACACACATGAACACCAATGAACACCAATGAACAGGCGCACACACGCACCGTTGTCGAATTGAAGGAAGAATTCTTCGTTCCAGTCGGGGTTGATCGTTTTCTGCTGCGTCCTGGACGTGTGCTTGTGTCGCCCCAGTCGAACAATCGCAAAGGGATCACTCGTGCCTGCAAGCAACACGCAAACCATGTGAGCAGTTTATGTGATTGTGTGTGTGTGTGTGTGGATGAATGCGCCCTTATAATCGTACAAGCATGCATACAAGCAAGTAAGCAAACATAGAACAAAGCACAAAGCCTCACCTCCGCGATCAGCAACCATAAGGTCCCGGCCGCCGCGCAGCAGCACGTTCACGCCTGATGATGAAGAGCATGAATGGGGGGTGAACACGAAGTGGTGATGCGGGCTGAACAAGATGTGGACGGGGGAGACACACACACACACACGCACACACACACACACACACACACACACACACACACACACACACACACACACACACACACACACACACACAGGCAAGGGGGGGGGGGCAAGGGTGTATGAGCAGACCAATGCTTTGCGGTCATGGCACCTTCTTTGACGTTGGCAGCATCGCGCACTTTCTGCTTGGCCGACTGCAAACACGGGCGAGAAACAATGCAGTGAGGTCGAGAGAGAAGACGCACAAACCACACCACCACCACCGCCTCAAAATGGCAGCACGACAAGACACAACATGCTCAACCCCTTCCCCTTCACCCCCACCACCACCACCACCACCACCACCATCACCGTGTGAGATATACTCCCCCTGCGGACCTGGTCGAATGTGCGCGTGAGAGTGACGTTGAGGACACCGAGATCACTTGGCAGCCGACGCGAGAGGCGCCGCCCGTCGTCCTGCAGCCGCACCCTGATGGCGATAATGGTGGTGATGGTGGTGGGGTGTGTGGGGTGTGTGTGTGCGGGGCGGGGGCAAGAGGTATGTTAAATCAATGCGTCTCCCGAGCTCAGTACTGAGAGCACACACACACACACACACGTACATATTCACACACGTACATATTCACACACGCACGTGCACACACACGCACACGCGCGCGCACACACACACACACACGCGCGCATGTACATATTCACACACGCGCGCGCATGCACCCGTACGAGAGCGGTGTTGGGGTTTCAAGCGGGACATCTGTGAGCGGAATGGTGACGCTGCCAAGATAGTCGGTGCCAAACCGGTCACGGTCATACAGGTCCACCCGCAGCACGTCCTGCCCGTTGCCTGCAGGCAAGCACAAGACGTTTCCGTTGCTGACTTGAGAACTTATGCGTGTTGTGTTGTGGGCGCAAGGCTGCATTCGCGCATTAAAAACATCGCAGCTTCCACATGCACACACACACCAAGTACAAACAAACACACGCACGCGCGAGTGAGCAGCCATCAAGGATTACCTCGTTCGCACTTGAAGAAGAATTCATCGTCCCATTTGGGCTCGAGCGTCTTGCTGATGGTGCGTGAGGTGTGTTTCTGCTTGCCAAGCCGCAGCGTCACAAATGGATCGCTCGTGCCTGCAGGCAAACAATTGGCGAGGGGCAATGGATGAGAACGACTCGTGGTTTGTAGTAATTGTTCCACCGTCTGCGCAGAAGACACAAAGTATAAGCATCATCATCATCATCATCATCATCATCATCATCATCATCATCATCATCACCATTTGTGTTCTCACCTCCTCTGTCTGCGGCCATGATGCCGGATGCGCTCTGCAGCAGCACGTGCAGACCTGAGGCCACGCAGAACACACGATCAAGGGAATGTACGTGAGTTTGGGTGTTGTGGCATGGCTGTTGCAAGCTACGGCACACGATTGTACACACACACACACACACACACGCTTACACACATACTTACACACTCTCACTGGCTCGCTCACGCGTCCATGCACACACCGTCCCATACCCGGTCACACCCTCATGCTCGACCAACTCACACACCTTCCGTGGAGGCAGACGTGGTGGCGGAGTCCGATTTGGAGCGGAATTTCGCTGCAGGCGTTGGCAGCTGCCACGCATCATCGCCACACATGTGCACAATAGTTGCGCGTCAGTCTGAAATACTACGCTGTCGTCACGGTGCATCGTATCACCAGAAACACCGACAAGAAGCGCGATACACACACACACGCACACACATGCACACACACACATGTGCACACACACACACAAACACGCACACACGCGCGCACACACACACACACACAGACGCACACGGACGCACGCGCCCATAGGCTCAGCCTCACCTTGCGCCGGGTTGAGGTTCCATATGGCTGCTCGTGCTGGTAGTTGTGTCTGCACAACTCGTCCTCCTCCTCCGCACGTGCACCACCTGGGGATGTGCGTGGCATGGCAGCCGGCACAGATGCAGACAAGTGGGCGTTCCCGCGGGATGAGCGGCGCGTTGATGTTGATGGGTTACGACCCGGTGTTGGAGAGGACGCCATCATGCTCTCCTCCGGTCCAAAGGAATGCATCTGACAGCGATAATGCGACACATCGCACATGCAGAAACCAGCAAGGGGGCCAATTGGCAGTCCAATGCGAGGCAGCAAGTGAATTGGCAGCTCAACGAGCAGTGGCGGTGCACATAAGAAGCAAGGGGTTGGGAAACCAAAGATCACATTCTAAACCAGGGCACCATCCAGACCACAATGAAAAAGAGCACTGCAGTGCGCGTACGCTGGTCTCGTCGTCATCGTCCCGCTGCGCATGCCGGATGGCGTAGATGGCTGCCACGTCCGTGTCATTGGGAAGCATGCGTTCATCTGTGCGTGCCTGCTGTGCTTGCTGCTGCTGGTACGCTTGTGGAGGTCTGCGGCGACGAAACAACTTCTGCTCAGCAAGCAAGAGCAAAACGTGGGCATTGGGCGCAGTTGTATGTGTGAGCGTGAGTGTGAGTGAATGTGAGTTCGTGGTTGAATGGACGTCAGTGTGTGTGTGTGTGTGTGTGCGTGTGTGTGTGTGTGTGTGTGTGTGTGTGTGTGTGTGTGTGTGTGGCTGAACAAACGTCAGTGAACGTGTGCATCTGTGTGCGTGAGTGAATGGGTGAGTGGGAAGTTGTAG